AAGACCGTACTTAGACCTATAATGGTTTTTCTTTTACAAATTGTGACTTGGATGGAGAGTTGTCTCATTAGCACTCATACCACATCTTTTTATATCTATGTACACCTTACAATTATTTCATACACCAAATATAGTTGATCTATTGCTTATAGTACTTGAAAAACAGACCAAAACACAAAAAATTAACAATGACCAATGAATCGTGAAAATGAGGTCAAGGTCAGACAAAACCTGCCAGTCTGACATGTACCCCTTACAATCATTCCATATACCACATATAGTTAACCTACTGCTTGTAGTATCGATCTGAGAAAGGGACCTGATCACGTAACTTTAACCTTGATCACTGATCCATGAATTGAAGTCAGGGTCAGTCGAACCCTATCTGTTCGACATGTAGACGTTGCAAGGAACCCATATACCAAAGATCCTATTATTCATTTTAAGTGAGAAATTGACATGACAAAAAAACTGTAAATATTTTTCAAGCAGTCACTGAACCATGAAAATGAGGTCAAGGACAAGGGGCATATGACAGACGGAAACTTCATAACACAAGGTATCTGCATACAAGGTATGAAGCATCCATACAGGTCTTCTACCTTCTGAAATATAAAGCTTTATACAAATAGTTTACGCCAACGCTGCCAGATAGTAATCTCTATGTCTGGCATACTGCAACTTTCGTCACAGGCGAGAAAAAAATGGTAAAAATTGTCATTTAGGTGGTACATAACACTATAGGGAGATAACTCTGTAAAAATCAGCTAAACGTTTAAATCACGTACTCTGTTTGTTAAGGAAATATTAAGCTTCTCAATGATCAAAATTAGTGCTTGTCAAACTGCTATATATCCAATGAAATTTTTCCGATAAAGTGTGTGGTTCAAGTTTTTTGAAATTTTTATATTTTTGTACTTAAAATTCAATTTTCCATTTAATCAATGTTCCAAAGGGACATAACTGTTTTAAAAATAATTGATCGGCACTGATTTTCGAACTAAAGAAAGACATTGCTGATACAAACCTATGATACAAGTTTCATAAAATTCTGGCAAGAATTGTACACATGAGAGTGCTAACGATGCAATTTTCCAAATTATTACTGTTTTCAAGGGATAACTCCTTTAAAAATAATTGATCAGCACTGATTTTCGATCTTGTCCAAGACATTGCCAATATTAACCTATGATATAAAAATCTGGCAAGAATTGTACAAATGAGAGCACTAACGATGCAATTTTCAATATAATTAATGTTTCCAAGGAGCATAACTCATTTAAAAATAATTAATAACCTATGATATAAGTTTCATAAAAATTTGGCAAGAATATATTGCACAAATGAGAATGCTAACAATACAATTTTCCATATAATTAATATTTCCATAACTCTTTTAAAAAATAGATCGGCACTGATTTTTGTTGAGCCTTCGACTTTTGTCGAAAAGCGAGACATAGCAATCCTACATTCCGTCGTCAGCGGCGGCGGCGTCCACAAATATTCACTCTGTGGTTAAAGTTTTTGAAAATTTAATAACTTTCTCAAACTATCCTGGATTTCTACCAAACTTGGACAGAAGCTTGTTTATGATCATAAGATAATATTCACAAGTAAATTTTGTAAAAAAAAAAATCTTTTTATTCCGTATTTTACTTATAAATGGACTTAGTTTTTCTGCCAGGAAACATTACATTCACTGTGGTTAAAGTTTTTGAAATTTTAATAACTTTCTTAAACTATCCTGGATTTCTACCAAACTTGGACAGAAGCTTGTTTATGATCATAAGATAATATTCAAAAGTAAATTTTGTAAAAAAAAAAGTCCATTTTTTCCGTATTTTACTTATAAATGGACTTAAGTTTTTCTGCCAGGAAACATTACATTCACTCTGTGGTTAAAGTTTTTGAAATTTTAATAACTTACTTAAACTATCCTGGATTTCTACCAAACTTGGAAAGAAGCTTGTTTATGATCGTAAGATAGTATCCAGAAGTAAATTTTGTAAAAAAAAAAATCCATTTTTTCCGTATTTTACTTATAAATGGACTTAGTTTTTCTGCCAGTTAACATTACATTCACTCTGTGGTTAAAGTTTTTAAAATTCTAACAACTTTCTTAAACTATCTTGGATTTGTACCAGACTTGGACAGAAGCTTGTTTATGATTAAAAGCTAGTATCTAGAAGGAAATTTTGTTAAAATTTTGTTCCATTTTTTCTGTATTTTACTTATAAATGGACTTAGTTTTTCTTCCAGTTAACATTACATACAGTCTGCAGTTTAAGTTTTTAAAACATTTATTAGATTCATAAACCAGCCTGGATTTTTACCAAACTTGGGCAGAAGCTACTTACAATCAAAGTATAGTATAGAGAGAGGAATATTTTTATTATTTTTTTTCCTTATTTTTGTTGAGCCTGCGATTAACAGCAAAAGTAGGCGAGACACTGGGTTCCGCGGAACCCTTACAAATTTTTAAACTAGTATAAGACATTGCTGATATAAACCTATGATATATATGTTTCATAAAAATCTGGCAAGAATTGTACATGTGAGAGCGCTAAGAAGAATGGATGGACCCTTGGTATTTCTATATCCCCTGCAACGCGTGATATTTGAACTGAAAACATAAATGTTTCTATTTCAGATTGACAATTTTTTTTTTAATTTGCCTTTCCTTGATCATATGACAATTAAGATAACATGTTCCTATAATGGTTTACTTTTATAAATTTTGACTTGGATGGAGAGTTGTCTGATTGGCAGTCATACCACATCTTCTTATATCTATATACATGATATATTGTCTATTTTCAAAGACCATTTTGACATGCATGGATTTTTCTAGCATTCCACGGGGTCCGGTATTCGGACCCATTCCCAATGGCAAAAACCCTACATTTTTCCCAATTTTGGGAGCAAAATTCCCAAATGATCTCAAAATTCATTTTCATCTTTATTACTCATGACAGCGATGTTTATTTTCTTCAATCGCTAGCTTTATGCCAAAAATAGCCAACAAGTGATGTGTAAATCCGAGTAAAAACATATCTGATTGACAAAAACAACATCAACAACAATGGCTGACATAAACCAGAAATGTAGACAATTACAATACTGGATCAGTTTCTGGGAACGGATAAGACTAATTCTGGGTTTGCCGATCTAATACAATAAATGAATATAAAAAAATCCAAGCAGGTCACACAATACAGCTATGAAATATAAACACTAGAATTGAAAACAAAAAGATATATGAACATGATGAAAAAGAAAGAAGAAACAGGAAATATTTTATACAGAAACTCAATTATTTTTAGTTCACAAATTTTCATGTCAAAATCCAATAAAATGTGACATTACTTTTCTTTATCAAAGAAAAATGTTGATATTAGATGATTTTATAATGTAAACATATAACTACAGATCCAAGAGGTAATTTCTTCTCAATTTTGAAGGGCCAGTAAAAATCTGGAAGAGCAAGTGAATTTCAAAAAGTGTTATCTTGCTTGGCCTGTAAAAAACATCTTACATGTACATATATCCCTGAATTATTTATTATATTAACCATGTTAACTGTAACTGTCTTTGAAGATAAAAAAAGGCGATAAATTTTAATCACACGTGTGCTTTAAGAACTCATCATTTTGATACTAAAATAATCTTGAGTGCCTTGTTGTGAAATTTAAAAACAAAAAGAACAGAAAATGAAATTATAAATTGCAATCATGTAGTTTCTTACTTTATTTTCACAAAAAAATATCATTTTTAATGAACTAAACACAATAAAACTCACATCTGGTATATTTGTTGTTTTCCCAATTTCACTGAAAATCGCGTAAAAAAATTCCCAAAACTGGCCAGGGTCCTTTTTCCCAAAATACCCAGAAAAACCCCTGACATGTTTCATTGATTGGTTACTATCTCATTGACATATACCTCACAATTTTTTTTTTCATTTAGCACAAGTTCAATGCTTAAGTTCAACCAATCTATATTTGTAGGAATATAATTTTGTAATTATTCTTTGGTTTTTTTTTTCTTGTTTAATGTTACCGTATTTAGAATGAAATAAACTGTTGTTAACACAGAGATACATGTATGTCTCGCCTTTTTGTTATTTTGATAGTAAAATGGAAATGTTGAATTTAAAATAGCAATACTTTAACAAGTTCTGCAAAATATTCAAAGTCAATGAACCATGACTGAAGGTACAGGTCCAAATATGATGTGCTAATGCTAAATATATGCATACCAAATATCATTGATCTACCATTAGTGGTTCTCCCTAAACTAACCTAATCACAAACTAATACATGTAAACAAAGCAAAAGTTTCAAAGTCAATAGTCCAGGACTAAGGGGTCGGGCAAAATAATCACCATGGAAATGAGATGTGCCAATGCTTATACAGCTGCATACCAAATTTCATTGACCTACCACTTGTGGTCCTCATAAACTGACCTAATTATCACAAACTAATACATGTAAACTATGCAAACATTTTTAAGTCAATTGACCATTACTGAGGGGGCAGGCCCAAAAAATCTTAGTGTTAATGTGTACCAATGCTAATACAACTGCACACCAAATATCATTGACCTACCACTAGTAGTTCCCCATAAACTGACATAATCACAAACTAATACATGTTAACTATGCAAAAGTTTCGAAGTCAATAGAACATAACTGAGGGGGCAGGGCCAAATAATCTTCATGGAAATGAGATTTGCCAATGCTAATACAACTGCATACCAAATATCATTAACCTCCCACTAGTGGTTCCCCATTAAACTGACCTAATCACAAACTAATACATTGTTGACACCTCCACTGGAAACAGCATACCTATGTCTCACTTTTTGACTCTGTCAAGACATAAACTATATCATGTATATGTTAATTATCTTTACTTTTAGAGTTTAGACACTCTTACATTTCAAACAAATTTCAGTAGTAAATGGTCCTACATATAGATCACATATAATGTACACTTACCTATAATAGCAACTAGACTGGACAAGGATTACATTGACTAGACAGTTATCTAATTGACTGGACAAGGATCTAATATATACCAATAACAGATGTTCAATCTAGAAATATAAATGTTTCTTTTTCAAGTAGATATAATAATAATAGCATGTTATAAAGACAATGATCTATTGTTGAATACCATTCTGACCTCTATCATTGATTGATTGCTGTCTGTTTGACAAATGACTTTTAGATAATTTTCAAACATTTGCTATAAAATGATGAAACATGTATGTTCGCTTAGTTGATCTACAAAATTTTACAATCCTTATATGCATCTTTAGGCTCAGCAGTTTTGAAAAGACGAGTCTAGATAGATTTTCACGAGTTCATGACTCATTGATGGCCTTATTGAGAACACTGTCTCCCATCTTTCATTCATACAACTGATTTTTTAGTTAACAACTATTTTTATATAGAATTTATATTGTATGATTGCATTGTTTTATTAGTTTTGTAAGTAGGTCATGTATGTTATTTTTGTTTAAAAGTTGCTGAATGAAAAATGTAAATCCTGTTAAAAAAGAATTAAAAAGCACTGGTGCATACCTGCCAACCTCTGAAACCTTCAAAGAGGGAGATCTCCCCCTCAGCTAAGACAGCTGAGGAGGAGATTTTGCGCGAACGACATTTTCAAGTGAAAAATATGACCTGTTTATTTATTCATTTACAAAACACAAATAAGAGTAAATAGATATACTTTATTTCTTCAATCATGGCTATATCCTATAAAAGGTGTGTTCGTTTGTTTTTTTACTATTTCATTATCTTTGACATTTATGTCCCTTCAGGCCAGCATACCTCAAAGATAAGTTTGTTTCAAGTGATCATCTTTAGTGTAAAGGAAGGTGCATTATATGTATGAACAGTCACATTTCGATCATCAGAGTGAAATACATCTCTTATAGGCATAGATCTATTAAATGATTTTCAAAATATAATTATATTTTTTGTCCTAAGGTCTTCAAAATCATTAGATTACCATCCTTCTATGATTCTTTGTTCAATTTGCATTTAATTTATATTCTTTAACCAATTCACATTATTTTAAGAAGGGTAACTTAAAACAGGATTACACAGGGGAAGTAACCCGAAATTTCTTTGAAGTGTTTTCAAATATACAAAGCTTGAGGTATAAGTCGTTAATTATCGTTAATTAGTATTATGTTTGACACCCAAGCTGTCATGTGAAGCCATTTAATTTTCACATGAACTGCGATTTACAGGTAAAAAATACCCTCATCAGTGACACAAAAACGTTATGAATGTTGACTGGTCAATTCAAGGTAAAATATCCAAAAGCGGGAGATTCGATACTCCCACGCGGGAGGGGAGCAGAAAGCGGGAGATTTCCGAAATTTCGTCATTTGAGCGGGAGTCTCCCACTCAAAACGGGAGGGTTGGCAGGTATGCTGGTGTAAATAAACCAGCAAGTTCTTGATTATCTCCCCTTTTATAATTTTAACATAAAATTTACATGTACAAATGTACATTGTAGTTCATTTAATAAACTGGGGTATTTACAACTGAACCTTGTTATACATACCGGTATCCTTTAAAATACACAAAAAACAGCTGTTTTCTTGATAAATATTAAAAATCACTTAAATACATGTATAATTAAAAATATAACACTTTATTACGTGACTTAAATGCATGTTTCTTCATAGTTAATTTATTTGAAATAATTTAGATTTCTTCACGCTTAATTTGTTTTCTTGTCACTAAATTAGTCTTCTTGTCGTTTTTTTTATTAAAAACAAGAGTGCACACACTAAAATGTCTCGCCTGCTTTACAAACCATGATTGATTTTATGCTGATATTCCTAAAGATAATGTTTAACTACAAGTATCACATAAACCTTAAATTATCAATGATCCATCAGGAGTGAGGAATTGCTATGCACGACTCATACATTTGAACAACCGGACAAGTAAATTTTTTGAACTAGGTTGCCCGTGGACAAGTAAAAAAAATACACTGGACAAAATTCAATTTAATAAAAAATATAGAAATATTTTCACAACATATTAAGATGTACTACTTCATGTAAAAGAAACCAATGACCAACATGTGAAAAATATATTTTTAAATCAAAACTTCACAATACATGAAAAATATATATTTAAATCAAAACTTCAATGTTCATGTAGACAAGTATTGAAAAACAGGGAATTAGATTGATAACCAGAATAATAACCTGTTGACACAGGTAAATGTCTCACCTGTATGCATAACATTCACAAAAAGACAATCTGGTAAACAGGCGAGACAAAAATTTTAAGTATGAGAGTCTAGGTCTCATACACATTGCTTTATTTTTCTCCATTGACCCAAGATCATTGTTTAGATTTTATCTGCCATCTAACGGAAGTGTTATTTAAATTTTTTCATGATTGAGTTTTATCGAGTTGAATAAATACCTGATAAAAACAACTTAACTGGGTAATCAAGACAAAAGGAACGAAAATAACGAAGACGAAATGAAGAAAAATAAAAACAAAAAACATAGGCGGAGAAAGAGATGGAAAACGGCAATGGGAATTCCACAAATGGGGCATACAAAATTTACCAGGGTCTACGGTGAAGAAAAAAAAAAAGGGATTAAATTTGAAAGACAGGGAATATGGGGAAAAAAGGGATTAAATTCAAAAGACAGGGAACATGGGGAAAAATGAATCCAGACATTGTGGCGTACACAAACTTCACTTGCTCTCCAGTGAAGAAACATCAGAAATTAAAATTAAATTGTTTCACAATTTGTAGGAAACACCAACAACTTGCTGATCAAAGACTTACTCATTTGTTGACAAATTAATAGATAAAAGGGACATTTTGGTGGCCCATCAATATTCTGCAAAAAACCAAGCTTGTCAGATGAAAAATAAAGTAAACAAGAATGTGTCCATAGAACACGGATGCCCCACTCGCACTATCATTTTCTATGTTCAGTGGACCGTGAATTTGGGATCAAAACTCTAATTTGGCATTAAAATTAGAAAGATCATATCATAGGGAACATGTGTACTAAGTTTCAAGTTGATTGGACTTTAACTTCATCAAAAACTACCTTGACCAAAAACTTTAACCTGAAGTAGGACAGACAGACGAACGGACCCACAGACCGAAAAACATAATGCCCCTCTACTATCATAGGTGGGGCATAAAAATAACATGTTGGGGAAAGGGAAAACATAAATTGCCTTCCTGTTTTTTGTTTAGTTGTTTTGCTTTTGGGTTTGGGTTTCTTTAATGTTAACCTCATACACATAAACAAATATCACAAACACCATTTATATTGCATTGTATGGTATCGGGTCCGTTCGCCCTGGGACCGTTCGCCCCTAGTTCGTTCTCCCATAGAGTCCATTCGCCCTGGGTTCGTTCTACCTACTTTTATTAAAACAATATTAATACTAAGGGTATTAAAATTGAATACACTTATTTAGATATTTATATGGTATAAATTTTTCAAAATTCATGAAAACACATGAAAATATTTAAAAGTTCATGGCTTGTTTCGGAGCATTAATTGTTCATTATAATAATTCTCACTGATCATGCTGATTGTTGTAATAATTGTCTTTAATGGATTAATCATTAAAAACAACATTTTGTTTTGATAAACTAGTCAGCTTGGAAGGAGTAAAAACAATGATGTATTAATTGTAAAACATGAAAAGGATTAATAATAAAATTGAGAATGGAAATAGGGAATGTGTCAAAGAGACAACAACCCGACCAAACAGCAGAAAACAGCCGACGGCCACCAATGGGTCTTCAACACACCCGGAGGCGGGCTTCAGCTGGCCCCTAAACAAAAGGTGTACTAGTTCAATGAAAATGGACGTCACACTAAACTCCAAAACATATAAATGAACTATAAACTGTTATCACAGAGAAATGTTGAAACTAAAATGGCAATACTTAACAAGTTAGGCTAATATTCAAAGTCAATGAACCATGACTGAGAGACATGGCTAAACCATCTCCATGTAAATGAGATGCGCCAATGCTAATACAACTGCATACCAAATATCATTGACTTATTATAAGTTGTTCCCTTTAAACAAACCTAAACACTAACATTAACTTGTAAACTATGTAAAAGTTTCAAAGTCAATGAACCATGAAGAGGGGGTGGAGCTATATAATCTCCATGGAAACAATACTTACAAATGCCAATAAATTTGCATACCAAATATCATTGACTTAACATTAGCAGTTCATCTTAAACTGATCTTATCACAAACTAATACATGTGAACTAAGCAAAAGTTTCAAAGTCAATAGGCCATGACTGAGGGGATGGGGCCAAATATTCTCCATTGAAATGAGATGTGCTAATGCTTATAAAACTGAGTACCAATTAACATTGGCCTACCACTAATGGTTCCCCTTGAACTGACCTAATCACAAACTAATACATTACTTGTTAACTAAGCAAAATTTTCAAAGTCAATTGACCATGACTAAGGGGGCTGAGTCAAATAATCTCCATGGAAATGAGACATACCAATGCTTATACAACTGCATACCAAATATCATTGGCCTACCACTAATGGTTCCTCATAAACTGACCTAATCACAAACTAATACATGTAAAATAAGCAAAAGTTTCAAAGTCAATAGACCATAACTGAGGGGGCAGGGCCAAATAATCTCCATGGAAATGAGATGTGCCAATGCTAATACAACTGTATACCAAATATCATTGACCAACCACTAATTGTTCCCCATAAACTGACCTAATCACAAACTAATACATATAAAATAAGCAAAAGTTTCAAAGTCAATAGACCATGACTGAGGGGGCAGGTCCAAATAATCTCCATGGAAATGAGATGTGCCAATGCTAATACAACTGTATACCAAATATCATTGACCTACAACTTGTGGTTCACCATGAACTAGACCTAATCACAAACTAATACATTGTTGACGCCGCCGACGCCGGAAACAGCATACCTATGTCTCGCTTATTGACTCCGTCAAGCGAGACAAAAATTAAAAAACAGACAAGACTAACAAAGGCCACTCAGAGGCTTCTGACTTGGGA